TCTGATGCTCAGAAATGTTTGAATTTTAAATTATTCTTCTCATAATTTGGCTTATTAAGTATTTATGTCCAAAGCAGATGTTTTAAAGGTGATGCGGTTCTTTCTTGATGGAAACTCTTCGCCGTGAACAGAGCGCTAGCACCACCAAGAGGACAAGCAGAATATTACACCAAGACCAGCACTGATCACCTGTTATCTTTTGTTCTCTTTCTCATTACTTGTGAATTTTAAAAAGACCATGCAAACGTTTACCAAAGACACTTTAAGCATTACATTCGTTCACGTAAAAACACTGGTTTGTTGTCAGCTCTGCTCAAAGTATTGCATCTGAGCCCAGCAAAACCATCATTTTACTGTCCTCACTGCACTAACACTTGAGCTTTTTTGTAATTTGCGATACAACAGTCGTTGTTTATTCTACACTTGATTATTGTTTGGTTTGATGAAAACCTGTACAGAGAAAGCAGGCCGTGAGTTCTTGTGTTACAAGGAAATAAATACTCCTAAAAATGTGTTGTTGGCTTTTAACCGCTAGTCTCACAACACAGTCTTAGTAGTATTCTGTATTCAGAAGCAAACGGCAAATATTTGCTCGTGTTTTTATTAAGTCTTTCATTGTTTTTTATATCTCAGGTTATCAGTTTTACCCACCTATCATATACCCACCGAGGACTCCCACTCAGCGCACCAGAACCACATCACCAAGCTGCCGTCCACCGAGCATCCAGAGGTGTTCGGCCAGCACCCCAACGCTGACATCGCAAGCCAGATCGCCGAGAGCAGGACTCTGTTCGACACCCTGCTGTCCCTGCAGCCGCAGGTCACCAGCGCCACCACGGCAGGGACCAGGCCCAGCAGAGAGGACATGGTGAGGACGAGTTAAAACACCGAACATTACATTCACGTATACAGTACCGTCATTTCTGGACTGTAAGCTGCTACTTTTTTCACAGCCTTTGAACCCCGCAGCTTAAACAATTTATGGATTTTTTATTGACGGGCTTCAAACATTTAGCGTCGTCACACCCGGGTGCTCACAGAGCTGCCCAGTACACGACTCTCTTGGAGGATGGGTCTTCGTGACTCACTACCTGTATAAATAAAGGTTAAAAAAATCTGATCAATGAAATGGGGAGCAGAGGAGAGAAGGGGGGGGGGATTCCCCCTCCCTCCCCGTGAGGAGGGACTCCCCTGC